ACTTATTCAGTATTTTGAACAAATCCAGTAACCACATTCATGTGGTTGAAATTTGAAAGTCACTAAAAGGTATATAATGAAAGACCCCTTTCTGGCCTCTAGCCATCAGTTTTAATCCCCTTGACCAAAGAACTCTTGTCATCTCTGCCTTGCATAGAAATTATATTTATATAAATAAAATATTACCTACTCTATTTTTTAAATTAGGCTACTTTGTTCCTTGTGTTTTTTTCCCCATAATTTTATTGATAAACAAATAGCAATGAGACAGTTTCAAATCAAATTGGTAGGACAGTTTCAATAATTAACACATTGTATACATTCTTCCTGGTGGTTAATTGCTGATATTCTATTTACAAACACCATTAGAACAAATCACTCTATTCATTAAGAGAATGTAACTATATATCTATCCTAACACTAAAGATACTTATTGCAAAGCTAACTTCTGGTGATTCTACAGAAGTTTCAAAGGAAAAGCCTTTATGTATCCCAGTCAGAAACAAAATAGATGCTTCTAGGGGCCGGGGAGATGGCTCAGTGGAATAGGCGCTTCCCTGGCAAGCGCAAGGGCCTGAGTTCAATCCCTGGTTTCGAAAAACAAAACGAAACAACAAAAACAAAAAAAACCCAGAGGCTTCTAGTGAAGGTTAAAAGCCGACAAAAGTGCCTTGCCTAAGGCCATCCACCAGGACTGCCGAGCAAATGAGCATTGAAGATTGTGGTTTAGAGGAAAATTTAATTCCTAATCCGCTAAATAGATACAGAGTTCATGTCTTTTGAAAGGAGGGCACCCGGAAATGGGTTGTTATGGAGCTAGCCCTCTTGTTGGGGGCAATTTATTTAAGGTCACAAGGTGGGTCTAACTATAATCGATTTTATTATAAGTACAGTTGCTTAGGTAATAATTAATCCAATAGTGATCAATATGTCTTCGTTTTTGCTGATTTCCTGGACATGTGCATTAATCTCTATCTAACTATAGCAGCTGGACCCCAGCTTAGATACGCCCTGTGCTACCAGTGCGCTCCGAAATATTGGTTTGGGTGCAAAACTGTTTTAGTTAGGTATAAAAAGGACACTTGTAAATTGCCAAATTTCCTCTCAGGGGTGAGGTTGGCGAACGTAGTTCTACTCATTCTATCAATTTGTAAGCCTTTTAAAAACACCTTTAAAGAGAAACGTATTAAAAGATAATAAAGACAGGCAGAGGAGTGATTGCCGTTAACAGCAAGGCCCTTTCAGGGGGAATTTTACTCTTTCGCTTTCGGGCATTCTAGTAAGGGATGTGAATACCGCTGTTAAAAGAGGGAACGCGGAGAATTGTAGAAATGCGGAGGCTGATCACGGACGGGGACAGAAGAACTTGGTCCCGGGGCGCTGCGGTGGCCCGGTCCCTTGGCCTCTAGAAAATCAAGACCGAGGAGGAGGACGCAGTGCGATCTGCCCGGAGGGAAAAGCAGCGCTCGCGCGCCCTTTGCAGCTGAAATTCGCTAACGCGGGGCGGGGAGGTCGCCGGGCCGCGGTGCAGCTCGTCGGGGAGCGGCGGGAGGCCAGGTTAGCCCCGCAGGGCCCGCGGAGTGGAGGCCGCCGGCCGCAGGAGGGCAGCTGCGCGCAGCCGGCTCCCCTCCCGGGCGCGGT